GCTGTTGCTGTACAACCAATAAAATGATGTAGAAAATTCTTCAGAAACATCTCTCGACATAATTGGTTAAAACACTGTTTAGAAAAAATTTCAATCAGCAGATGCAAAAAAGAGTCTTATTACCGTTAACGTGATGATACTTAAAAAATGCATCATTTATTGCTTTTTTTTTTTTTTTTGGTAAACGGTGCAAATTTGGAAAAAGAAAGTGGAAAATAAAGATTAATAAGAAAAAAGCAGCGGCAAATTCTTCTTTGGGGCTTCTGTTTATTCGTTCTATTCTTTTAGCTGCATTCTATGCGTGCTCTTCTGCCTAATTTTTTTTACATAAATCATTTAAGTTTAAAATTTGGTAATTTATCTGCCAATAGAGCAAACAACTTTTTTAAGCGCAGAAAAATAGTAACCAGAAAAAATGCAACAGAACGTTTATCAATTATCGACAGAAAATTTCAGCTATTATTTTTCTACAAAGAATCTCTTTCCACAACAAATATCTATGCAAATTTTAAGTTCCAGTTTTTTCTAGAAACCTGGATATTTCTGATGACCGCTGGCTAATAAAATCGGTTTTTTTTTTGTTATTATTTTAAGTATTTGTTGATTAAGTTAAGCATACTTTTTATCACACACCTGACTTAACTTAAAGACAAAGTAAACTATAGACGAAAACAAAAATACTCTATAAATAATAGAAGTTTATAAGAAGAAAAAATATTCCTCAAACAAAGAAATGTCTTGACTTCAATAAGTGATCTAAACAATATAATTCCATATTCAACCGGTTGCTAACTGTTTGATAAATTTAATTTGCAGTTATTAAATAATCAAAGATAATGACTAATAAAGTTCAGAGAGAAGAAACTGAATATGATTTTTTGCTTTACGTCGATTTACGGTGAACCAGAAGTCACCGTGACATTGTCAAATCTAATCGTTTCGTAATTTTTAATAAAAGTGAATTTTTTCAAATTGAAAAAGCAGAACAGAACGGCTATCCTGGGAAGCTGCGAAGATTAAACAAATATAAAAAGTAAGTAGATTTTGAAGTAAAATTTGTGTAGCAGCAAGGATCACCTTCTTTATGTTAACACTGTCGGAAAACTCTTGCCTGAATTCATGACCGATGCAGTTTGTTTGTTGCGAAAGCCTTAAACTTTTTTTGGTCATTTAAAAGCAAATTCTAAAAAAATTTGATGCAGTAGACAGGCAGACAACGTATACATAAAATAAAAAAAAAAAAGAAGAAAGCATATTTAAGGATTACACGTGCATTTTGAATATAACCGGTAAAAGTTATCGGAAGAAAAGGTATGCTTTATTGTTAAGAAATTTCACTAACTTCTTATAGCTAGGACAGTTTGCATTTAATCGATAAAGACCTGAAATTTCAAGGAACAGAAGAGCAACAGTTCTCTCCAAGCTTGCAAATTAATTAGTCTTCTTATGTCAGTTTCAAAGACACTCCGCATAAAACTCATCAACTTTGCACTGCAAAGAAGACTCATTCTTTTAAAAACAGTTTCTTCTGTTTTCTAGATTTTGAATGAAATGGTGGCACAACGATGTAACCCTATTTGACGACATGGTGCAAAAAAGAAATCTGCTTTAAACGGATTTTGAGGCTCAATTTGAGAAACTGACAAGAAGCTTACATGCTAGAATTCAAAAATGTATCTTTGTAAATGTACAAATGTATTCAGCAGAATAAAAAGACTTAAAATGAAACATGAAAAACTCCGATATAGGTGCTGGTTATTGAGATTAAAACTGCACTAATCTCTCAACAATAAGTAAAGTTTCAGTTTTTTTACGGCCAATTTGTGTTTCAGATACTTTTTTGAGTGAAAATAGGATGTAATCAAAATTTATTTCCGCAGAATCTTTTGAAGTCAAATTTGCTTTTACTCAGTATCAGCATTACATACAATTTTCGGCTGTTCAAATTCACATGTTTTATTTGTTTTCTGAGCATCTAAACTGTTGCTTTCGGCAGCAGTTGTGTTACTTTTACAGATTTTTGCTATAAAGACTGTAATTATTAGTAACATTTTTTGCATAATCATTTCAGAGGAACAATTTAGGTAAGTAAAAAGATGATGTGTTATTAAGAAAGAATTTTTGTGCCTTTTGCAATTTTCTAAATTACCGCACAACAACTATATAATAAAAGAACAATGAAACGCCTGTTTTCAGAGACGTGTTACCTCCTTAATCTCGGGTAACTTATTATTTGTCAGGAATTGTCAGATTTCTGATGCGCATAAAAAAAAATAAAGAGAATTTACGAAAACAAAAACATAAAAAACAAAAAATACAAGTTGTCTTTTCGAAAACTGTTTGTTTGAAGAAAACGCTGGAAATTTCATGCTGATTAGAGGTTTTGCAGTTGCTTTGGTAACTCAGTGTAATTTTTCTTGCATTCTTCAAATTCAAAAATTGATCGCGCATTCAAAACTCTGAAACTTTTACATGTAAAATCTAAGATGGTTAAGTGCTGCACAAAAAATAAAAAAAAACAGAAACCCTGTTGCTTTAAACAGTCAATTATTTAAGCTGTTTCGCGTGCTAACAATGAATAATAATTTTGTTAGAATAGTTGAAACAGTTAAATGTATAAATCA